GTCTACGATGCTGCCAAAGCCCTAACCTTCCGCATGGCCGCGCGCATCCTATTGGGGCTGCGGCTGGACGAGGCGCAATGCTCGGAGCTGTCCCGAACCTTCGAGCAGTTTGTGGAGAACCTCTTCTCGCTGCCCTTGGACGTGCCCTTCAGCGGCCTGCGCAAGGTACTGCCACCGGGCCCCCGACCTTCCTCTTGAGGCTCCCTAGACGCCCCCGCAGGTCACTTCTGTTGAGCGACAGAGGCACAGTGCGCCCAGGAAGGGGAGGCAGCGTGGTGTGGTGGTGCCCTCGGTCTGCCCTGACTCGCTGTGTGACCCGCGGCGGGCCACACACCCTCTCTGAGCCATGCCAGATGGGACGTGTTCCAGTCCCAGCAGCCGCGGGGCCTCCCTTTGGATACTCGGTGGCAGGCGCCGGGCCAGTCGGCCCAGCCCCTCCCCAGAGCGGCGCCTCCTGGCCGGGCCTCCAGCCCCCTTTAGAAGCCCGGACGGCTGCGGAACGGATGGGCCGCAGACACGCCCCTGGCCCAGCTCGGCGCCAGCCCGGGTTGCAGAGGGGTGGGTGCCGGCTCCCCGCCCTCGGCCCCAGGCCCGCTAGTTTCCGGATTAGAGAACCGCGGCCTCTTCCGACTTCAGAGAGCGTAGGGCCAGGCCCAGGGAGCAGCTAGGAAGCCCCGTCCCGCCTTTCCCTTCGCACTTGAGCTGGGGCTTCTCCTGTGCCAATGCAGCGGTTTTCAGTCACCTGAATAAAAATAATAGTTATGTATAAAGGGGCATTATACTGGCTGATCACCTTGGATACATTTCCTGATTTAATCCTCTCAACCTGCAAAGTGTTACTCACGTTTTGTTGATGAAGAAACTGAAGCTCAGACAGGTTGAATAATTTACCCAAGATCACACAGCTAGGAGAGGGGCAGAGAGGCAGGATTTGAACCTGATCTAGTCTAACTACAAAACTCAGGCGCTCAAGTGCTTTTGCTGTATTTGCTCCCTGAACACTGAAGGGACACCCTGGCCCTCTTGCCTATCTCCTTACAGAGGCTAATGCTTAAAACAGCCATCGTGTCCTCTAAGCAAGAGCTTTTCTGGGTGCATCAAGGTGTCTGTCCCTTGCTCTCTGCACTGGTGCCCACTGTCTCTACCCATGCAGGGGAAAGGCAATGGGCTGGTTCCACCTCCACAACTTTGTGCCAGGAATGGGCACTGACCGCTGTGCGACTCTAGGCAATTGCTTGACCCCTCTGAACCTCGGCATCCTCCCATAAGGACCAAAGAAACTGTTTGCCTACCTCAAAGGGAGCTGTGATAAACAAGAGAGAATGATGTATTGGAAAAGTGAACAAACTTTGAGTATTTATTAAGCACCTTCTATGTGCCAGGCATGAAACTAAGCTGGGACACTTAACGTTAGGAACTCAGCAGAGCAGCCTTGGGAAGATTTGGGGGGGGGGGTGCCCAGGCCTGGCCCCCTCAACCTTCCTGCCCCACCTCCCTCTCTCCCTGCCCATCAGGGCATCCGGGCAAGGGACCAGCTACATCGGCACCTGGAGGAGGCCATTGCAGAGAAGCTCCATGAAGACATGGCTGGGGAGCCAGGTGATGCCCTGGCCATGATTATCCACAGCACTAGGGAGCTGGGCCATGAGCTCTCAGTGCAGGAGCTGAAGGTAGGTGGGTGCGGTCTCTGCTCCCCTCTTGCAGTCCTAGAGGGTATGTCTCCACTTTAAGCCTCAATCACTCTTCAGGGTGAAGGGGAAAAGACCAGGCTTCCAGCCATGGCTCAGCCCTACCCACTCTCAGTAGGAGCCTTGAAGGCTTGAGTCCTAGGCTCTTCTGGACACAAACAGCTCCACTTCCCTCCCCATTCTCTGTCACTCCCTACCTTTACCTCCGCTGTCCTCCTGACCACAAAACCCTCTTCACTCCTTTTCTCTACAAATCCTAAGGGCTCAGGGTCAAACTCCACATCCTCCTGGAAGCTCCCCTCTTCCCAAAAACCAGTACTCTCTTCTCATAAGGCACCTTGGCACCTGACACTGCTACCTGTTTTGAATGTCCACTGTGTGAACTGGATGTACCCATACAGCGCATGTGGTGGAGGTGGGGGAATGGCCCCCAGGACATACTTGACAGCCCCCCACAAAGAGTGGAGAGGTAGGGGAGCAGGAGACAGTGAGAAATGGAAACACCTCAGCCCTTCTGAAAGCAACTCCCATCCTTTCTCTGGGGCTCAATTGCCCCTTTCCTCCAGCCTCAGAGTGTGTCCCGGCCTTAAGTTTCTTCTCTGAAAGTGGGGCTGATAATCCCCACCCTGACTCCTGGGCGGCTGTGACGTCTGGAAGAGCCAGGGTGTCAGAAGTAGATGAGCAGTGGGCCCTGAGTCCTGGGGGAGCCTAAGGGTAGGGCCAGTTCTGGGCAGTGAAGAGGGCGGGGAGCGTGTGGAAAGGAGTGATGGTCCCACTGCCTTGACAGGGGTGGGGAGGAGGTATCTCAGCTTCTCTGGAAGAAACCCACTGCCTCTGCCAGGATCTTCCGTTCTGGTCTGGGATTCAGGGCAGGTGAGCCAGGCTAGGCCTGTCCAGGGAAGAGGTTGGGGCTTCAAGGTCTCTGTCCTGGCTCTCCATCTTGTTCAGGGCAGACAGTGAGCCTTGGACGGAGTCATTCATTCCACAAATGTGATGTACCTCGTCGGTGTCAGGCTTTTGCTGGGACAGAGGATTTAGCAGTGATCAAAACACAGCCCTGGCCCTTGAGGTGCAGGAGGGGTGGGGTCCACCTTCATCTTGTGATCACACAAATCAGTGTACCAGCACACTGTGGGTGCTGCCAGGAAGGAAGACAGGGAGCTGGGAGGGGAAGGCAGGCAGCGAGGGCTAGGCCTGGAGGGTGAAACCACAGGCCCCTCCTGTTTTCCTGGGCAGTGCAGACTGGGAAGAGATGTAGTCCCTCCCTGGGACCGCTCCACTAAGCGGGAGGAAGACACCTCCATGCCAGCTTTGGTGCGAGGCTGGCGCTGCTGCTGCAGGCACCTCCCCCAGTTCCACTGCGGTCCTCTCAGGAGCCCCAGCTGGGCCGCAGGCAGCACCCACACGGCTAAGAGCACTGGGCTCCGAGTCCTACTACTGGGGCTGCCGACTGCAGGGACTGGTCCAACCCGGGAATACGAGGGCAGCAATTGTGCCTCCTCGCAGGACGTGGGGGAGGGGATCGAAGGGGAGAATGGGACGAGCTAATATACCTAAAGCACTAAGAACAGCGCACGGAATCAGTTCCTGGCATTATCTCTGGGAACCTCCAAGGCAAGTGGCTAGAATAGATCCTGGCTTTGCCAGTTGCTACTGCGGCTTGCCCAAGCGGCAGACGGGATCGACTCCCGGACCCTCGCACGTAGCTGCCACAGGGGCACATCCCAGCTCCCTGGCCTTTGCGCAAAGGTCAGTTTGGGCCCTTCACACCTCATCCGCCGCGAGGCCAGGGCGGGGCGGCTGACGGAGACTCAGCGCCGCAGGGCTGTCTTGCAGGAGTCGGCTGTGGAGCTCCTCTTCGCCGCCTTCTTCACCACCGCCAGCGCCAGCACATCCCTGGTCCTGCTGTTGCTGCAGCACCCGGCGGCCATCGCCAAGATCCGGCAGGAGCTGGAGGCCCAGGGGCTGG